ATTAAAGGCAGGCAGGCAGGAAACTCACCTCAATGCACAAATCGATGGGCCCTTAAAAAGGTAGGAAGCCTGTGACACTACAAAGCGCTTAAAGATAGCTAACATTTCCAGTACAAACTCTCCAGATACAGGGGATTACTCCTCTCAACCACAGCCAGTTGCTCTGGAATGACATCTGACAAAACTTCAACTCACAGTGCATATTAATATGTTGCAAATAGAGACAAATGCAATCCAGCATTCACTCGTGTACAAAGCTTCTTTCTTTCTTCTTTTAAAAGTTCACTAAACCTGAAGATTTAGAGCCCAGCAGCCTCCATTTCAAGTAATGATCATTCTGGGGTTTTAAAAAAACCCCAAAACATTAAAAATGTTTTTAAAAGTCACTTCTAGACAGTACCAGAAGAGGTGATATGTTGGGCAAACATGCACTGTAGCAGAGGCAGGATTCTGAAGGCACAGTTTTTGAATAAACAGGGTAAAGATCCAGCAGGCACATTTCTGTTTGCTGTGAATATATATATATATTCAATACAAGCTGTCAAAATTCACTCCACCAGCTGTGTCTCAACTAACCTTTGTACTCTTAACATTTCCCACTGCTAACACCACAAATGCAGCTCCAACTGTTAACAGCAGCAACAGTGGGAGCCTCGGTAGGGACAGGCCTCAAGTTTTAACCACTCGATCACTTAGCCCTACTCCAAACAGGAGTCCCAGTGTATAAAGTGTCAGTAATCACAAGTGCCTGTTGACAATTGCATCTCCCAAACTCCCTGCTGCTAACACCAGTGGAAATACTAGAAGTCTCCTAATGTAGAGAGACCTCAGAGCAGAGGTATCATTTCACAAATGATACGGGTGAGAGACAAGTGCTTGTAGCATTCATGTCCCACAGGAGAAAACACCGAGCACACTGCGTTCAAAAGCTTCTCCAAGTCTATCCCAACCATGCAGTTGCTCCACTGAAAGATACCACCCACAAAAAACCAAAAGTCTATCCCTCTTTCATGAGAATGATCTCAAATGGCACAGATGAGTTTCTTGTAACTGTTCTGCAGCTAGTATTCATAAGGTAGCAATGTCTGGATTATTTTGCTTTAAAAATAACGTTGTCATGAAATACGGAACCACCTTTAACTATTCACAAAAACCACCGCACACAGCAAACCGGAAAGATTGCTTCAGGGTATCTGAAAACAATAACTGCTGATTGCAGGAGAAAGGGACAGTACTTTTATCATTTTAAAGTAGGATGATTACCAACTGCCGGGTCAACTGACAACACAAAATGTTACTCTCATGCCCGCACGTTTCTGTTCCTTCCCACCCCCTGCCCCTCTTAATGCTGTCTAAAACAAGCCAACATAACTATGTGCACAAATCACTTCAAAGGTCTGTGAACACTCAGAAAATGACTCCAGGGAACCTGGACATGATGACAAACATAGTGTTTTTATTCGTCCGGCAGCGCCTGCCTCTGCACCACAAAGGACGCAGCCACTCGCAATTCAAAGCCCCCTGCAACATCCCACAAGGAAGTGAGGTTAAGCTACTGTCAGTGTCCTGACGTCCCAGAAGGGGCTGTGCCACCAGCCAGGCTTTGCCTGTCCCATTTTGGATTTGGGAAAATACGATCTTTACCTGACTCTGGGACTGAGCTACGACTGGATATTCACTGATCACTGATTTGCTTGCTTCTTTTCACAAGTAGCTTCCATTTCTTGCATGGGCTCAGACCAGAACCTGGCCACAGCATCTGAAGACAGACTGTGCTAAATTGGAGGGAAGTGCAGTTTTCATCCCCCCCCCACCCTGCAACCCAAAATTTAAAGAAATCTCTTGCTACCTAAACCTGACATCCCCCCCTTGTACTGGCAGCCTACCAGCATTACAGGACTCCCCACAGGGAGATCCTCAGCAATAGATATGTTGTGTAGACAAGCATATTTTAGGCTAAATTAAAACACAATGTCACACACATCTACACTCCTACAAGACAACTCATTTCAGAGGTCTTCTTCCTACAAAAAAATAAAAAGCCTTTCTTCAGAGGCAGAGCCTCGGAAGGATTAGATCAACCTTTTTAAGCTCAAGACAGGCACCCCTCTGAAAATACCAGTGCTTAGTTTTCACTCATGTCTTGACACATAAAAAATAACAAAAAATAAAAATAAAAGAGCCATTTCTCTGTTGCAAAGTGCTCAGAAAGGGGCAGAACATTTTTTTTTTTAAACCCTGCTGCTTCTTCCTGGAAACTGTTGGGTCCATTGGGCGCGTCGGCACTGCCTGCCCGACCCTGCCAGCAGCGCGGGGCACCCTGCAAAAGATCCTCCAGCACTCCAGGGCCAGGGAGCGAGGGAGGGCTGAGGCTGGCTGCTTAGCTGAGTGCCACCGCAGGATACCATCCCCAGCTGCAACCCCCTCCAGGCAGGACCAGAGCACCCCTTGCCTGGCTGCAGCACCCCTGAAAGGCTCTCATGGCACCAGTCACCCCCAGTTGAGAACCACTGGTGGACCTCTCGCCTGGCTGCAGCACCCCTGGAAAGCTCTCACAGCACCAAAGACCCCCAGTTGAGACTCACAGAGGACCCCGTCCCTAGCTGCAGCACCCCTGCAAGGCTCTCATGGCACTGGTCACCCCCCGTTGATAATCATGGAGGCCCCTGTCCCTGGCTACTGCACCTCTTTGATGCCCCCGCCCCAGTTGAGACTCGCAGAGGATCCCAGTCCCTAGCTGCAACACCCCTGCGTGGCTCTCATGGCACCAGGAGCCTCCGGTTGAGAATCACGAAGGACCCCAACCCTAGCCCAGCGCCCCCACGAGGATCTTGCAGCACAGGAGCAGGGGTGGAAATGCAGCCTGGCTGTGCACCCCGGGGAGGATCTCACGGGCAGGGGGGTGCCCGGTTGAGAAGCACCAACCCCCTGAAAGGATCTGGGAACAGCCCTAGGTCGGGGGATACAATCAAGACCCCCCCAGTCTCTCACCTTTCTCATGGGCGCAGGACAGGATCTCCTCCTCTTTGGGGTTGGTCACCTGGGTGATCACGGACGGGTTGTCCATGGAAACGGAGGGGGGGGG